ATGACCTGAGCCTAAGTTGGATGCTCAACCGACTGAGCCACCCAGGTGCTCCACAAAAGGACTATTTTTAAAAACAACAACAAAGATTGGGGCACCTGGGTGGCTCAGTTGGTTGAGCATCCAACTTCGGCGCAGGTCATGATCTCACAGGTCATGAGTTCAAGCTCCACACAGGGCTCCGCGCCGACAGCTCAGAACCTGGAGCCTGCTTCAGATTCTGTGTCTCCCTCTCTCTCCGACCCTCTCCCACTCCCACTCTGTCTCTCCCTCAAAAAATATAAATAAGCATTAAAAAAAAAAGGCTTTAGGAGCGCCTGGGTGGCTCAGTCGATTGAGCGTCCGACTTCGGCTCAGGTCATGATCTCACAGTCTGTGATTTCGAGCCCCGCATCGGGCTCTGGGCTGATGGCTCAGAGCCTGGAGCCTGCTTCCGATTCTGTGTCTCCCTCTCTCTCTGCCCCTCCCCCCGTTCATGCTCTGTCTCTCTCTGTCTCAAAAATAAATAAACGTTAAAAAAAAATAATAAAAAAATAAAAAATAAAACATAAAAAAAACTTAAAAAAGGCTTTAAATAGAACAAAGAAATTGAAAGAAAAAAGCAGAACAAGATGTACCATGCAACCATAAGACAGTTGATGTGCGTCTATTAAAATCAGACAAACTATGCTGGATGTCACACACATTACTAGAAACAAAGAGAAACATTTCATGATTAGGACAAGGTCAATTCAACAAAAATGTAAAAACATTTAACTTGTATGATCCTAATAATATAGTCCCTGTACATATACAGCAAAAAAAGAATGTAAAGAAGAAATGGCCAAATCCTTAATCCTATTTGGAGATAACATATCTGTTTCAGAAAATGATTAAAAAATTAACAACAAAATCAATAAGGATACAGAAGATGTGAATAGCATAAGTGACCAATTATGGCAAAACACACATATAACAGGCACACATATAACATTTCAGGCACACATATAACATTTAACACAGAACAATATACTGAGATTGTAACACAAGATAGCACATTTCCAAGGATGAAATTGGTAACAAAAGAATAACTAAAAAGCCCCACATGCTGGAAATTAGGAAATATACTTCTAATTAACCCATGGGTATAAAAAGAAATCACAAGAGGAATTCTAAAATCTTATCAACTGAGTGGTAATAAAACTGAATTAAAGCTAAGATTACAAGAAAACACCTAATGTTTTAAATGCATATATAAGGAAAACTAAAAGTGAATTATCTATGCTTCCATTTCAAAAAGCTAGAAACCAGCAAGTTAAATCCGAAAAAGTAAAGAAAAAGTAAAAAGTAAACAACTAAAGCAAAGACAGAAAGGCCACAGGACAAAGAGAGAATCCAAAAACAGATCCTTATATATGAACAGCAAATACAAGGGAACCACTGAAATGTGTTAGAGAAGGAATACAGGCTGCAGCCTCACTCCGCATACACACCTAACAAAGAAATCACTTCCAGACAGATAATCCACCTAAGTGTAAAACAGAAAACAACGCTTCTAGCAGAAAGTGCAGAATATTTTCATAATCTTGGACTAAGCAAAAATTTTATAATAGGCTCCAAAAAAATATAAAAATAGCTAAGTTGAACCTCATTAAAATTAAGAATTTCTCCTCAAAAAACACAAGAAAGTGAAAAGGCACGTGACAGAGAAAATATTTCCAATGTGTATTTTCTTTTTTAATTTTTTTTTTTTTTTAACATTTATTTATTTTTGAGACAGAGAGACAGAGTATGAACGGGGGAAGGGTCAGAGAGAGAGGGAGACACAGAATCAGAAACAGGCTCCAGGCTCTGAGCGGTCAGCACAGAGTCCGATGCGGGGCTTGAACTCACGGACCGGACCGTGAGATCATGACCTGAGCTGAAGTCAGACGCTTAACCGACTGAGCCACCCAGGCACCCCTCCAATGTGTATTTTCAACAAAAGACCTAAGTCCAAAACCTATGAAGTCCCAGAAATCAGTAAGATAACCCATTTTTTGGTACAATGGCAGCCCTTTATAAAAGCAGGATATTCAAATGGCTAATAAGTATATGAAAAAGATATTCATTGTTGATCAGAAAAATGAAAAATTTACCAAAAAGACAGATAAGACCAAATGTGCTAATGAGCAGCAAATGTCAACAGTGATATGTCCCTGTGGAAGTGTAAATTAGTATGAACCCTTTGAAAACAAATTGATGGTATTTACTACAGCTGAACACACATTTGACTACACATGACCAAAAAATGCACTTATGTGCAATAAGATATACAGAAGAGTTTTCAGGAAGCATTACTATTAATAGACAAAAACTAGGAACAACCTTAACGCCCAACAGCAGCAGAACAAATAGATATGCTATGTTCCTAACATGGAATATTTTCCTTCTACATATGAGAAAACTTTTCAGGCAATTACATGGGTAAATCTCACAAATCTAAAAATGAATGAAAGACACACAAAACAACATAGTATAAGATTTCCATTTGTGGAACTTCAGAAACAGGTAAGGTTAATGTATGGTTAAGAGATGTCAAATGTTGCTGGGGAGGGGTGCACAGGTGACCGCGAGGCAGGAGGGAGGATTCTGGGCGCTACTAATGTTCCACCTACTTGCAAGTGCTAGTTACATGGATGTGGTCACATTATAAATATTAAAACTGTACCCTTCATTTGTGCACTTTCTCAGTTATGTTGTATATTGTACTTCAATAACAGTCTCTATTAGCCTTAACTATGACCAGGTGAGTAAACAAATGAGAAAACAAGATTAAGATAAACGTTCAGGTGAAAAAGAGTCAAAGCCTAATGCAAGTCTAGGCTTTCCCATGAGAAATGATCTCTTTAAAAATCCTTTTATGATTGTGTTGTACTTCCAACTTAGATATTAACCTGTCTTTAGCAATTCTCCACTAATGGTTAACACTGCACCTTTAATTTCATGCACATGCTATCATTAGATGAATTCAGATTAGTTTCCAAGCACAAACTGCATAGTATCTAATTAATTAGGACCCAGTTAAAGTTGAATTATATACAGTAATGATCTGTAAGTTCAAATTGATGCTCATTCCGTGAAAATAGCGGTAGGGGCAGGAACTATGTAAGATGAAACTTAGATAAGAACACACACAAGCAGATGTTTTAAGTGTGTTAAATTTATTTTTTTTTAATTTTTTTTTTTATTATTATTTATTTTTGAAGGAGAGAGAGAGAGACAGAGCATGAGCAGGGGAGGAGCAGAGAGAGGGGGAGACACAGAACCCGAAGCAGGCTCCAGGCTCTAAGCTGTCAGCACAGAGCCTGATGCAGGGCTTGAACTCATGAACTGTGAGATCGCGACCTGAGCCGAAGTCGGACGCTTAACCGGCTGAGCCACCCAGGTGCCCCTAAGTGTGTTAAATTTAAATGAGTTCTATAAATGAGTGTTGCTCCCTTGCTGCGTTTCTGAGTACATTCTTACCATCCTTGCTCCCTCCCCACATTCATCTCCATTCCAGGGTATATCTCAATATATACTAAAAGAAAAAGCTTCGGATTTAACTACCTAATACCATATATCCCCTTTAACTTTTCATATTTAAACTAAATTGCCATTTTTAATTCTTTATGTGAATGTATGATCTGAAATATTGAATCTACCTTTAATTCTACCTTCCAAAATTGTCATTGGTAACCATATTCTTCATATTAACTGGTAAAACAATGAATTTTCAGAGCTATCTAAAATTTAATTGGACAGAGCAATAGAAAGGTGTGCAGTGCTGCAATGGTTCCAGTAAATCAATAATACACAATTCCTCATCACTACTTCATTTCTCTCAAAATTATGAATTCTAAAGTAAGAGAAATGTTTATTTTATATTACAGTATCCTTAGTGCTGCCTTACAATACTCTAGTTGTTTTGGAGTGCCTGGGTGCCTCAGTCGGTTAAGTGTCTGACTTCGGCTCAGGTTATGATCTCATGGCTCATGAGTTTGAGCCCAGCATCGGGCTCTAGGCTGACAGCTCAGAGCCTGGAGCCTGCTTCAGATTCTGTGTCTCCCTATCTCTCTGTCCCTCCCCTGCTCATGCTCTCCCTTTCTCTCTCAAAAATAAATAAACATCAAAAAAATTTCTTTAAATATTCTAATTGCTTCTAATACTATTCAAGAGCATATTCTATATGCACCTTGAAGTACTCTGACAAGTTTATTTTTTTAAGGACTTATGAATATAAAGAACATAAAGAGCTATAGTGCCATCTACTGGGGAACAAAGACTAAGTTACTTCTTTAGCAAAGTTCACTATATTTTATCAAATGAATTCAAGGGCCATGTCTATATTTAATTTCCATCTATTACATAACATGTAATTAACTATCAAGAGATATCTGTTCACTTAACCATCTATAGAGCAGTTACAACTCAATCTGAGGGGATGACAAATGGCTACGACCCTATTCCCACCACAAAGGCAATTATGCAGAAGACTTGGAAGGTAAAATGACCTGGGATTTCCTTCTCAGTAACTTTTTTTCAAAATCCTAACCTCATACTTCTCTTAAAAAAAAAAAAAAAAAAAAAAAAAAAAAGCAAAAAAAAAACAACTTTGCAACCTAATTCATTCACTTAGCATTTTTGTGCCAATAAAATCAGATACCCTCAAAAGCAAAAGACAGCAAGAAATCCACAGCCTCCCTCTTAAATAAAAATAACTCGGGGAAAAAAGCAGTAATAGGAATACTGACATATAGAACCCTTTACTTCTTCAGTAGTTAACTCATTTTTCTTTTAAATATCAAATGCTTTAAAAAAGTGAATGTCATCCTACACAGGGACCATGCTGACCTTCCTTAAACTGTTCTAACTTAATGTGTGCGAAGCAAGCACAAATGCATTCTTCCACATAAAGAATAAAGATTAAGAGGAACATCTGTATGCCCCCCCCCCCGAATTTGGAAAGGATTACATGGGCCAGGGAGAGTGACAGAACTTACTGAGGTGCTACACGTCTCCAATAACGATCAATTCCATTCTTAAAATATAGCACAGCAAGCCACCTTACATTTATATCCAGAGTGTGGTTTGTAAAAATATTCTGTAAAAAAAACAAAAAAAAAAGCATTAAAATGAACATGTCATAAGTTAAAGTTTAATTACTTTACCCATAGTGAAATATGGATAACACTTTAAATGTTTCACTTAAGTGTTATCGCTACAGAGAACATGTTTTCTAAATCTCTATGAGCTCCAGAGTTCATGTAAGAAAGCACACGTGATAGAAGTATGTTCATTTTTAAGCTGAGTAATAAATATTTGGGATCCATTTAACTAGTCTACTTTTAGATGTCTGAAAATTTTCCTAATAAAAAATTAAACTCAGAAAAAAAGAAACCTAATTATACATCACAACCTACACACAAAACACTGAAATAAATATCTTTTCAATTAAAAAAAAAAGTAGACCCACCAAAGCATACATTCAAAGATTCTAAGGAGTCAAAGCCCCTGCATTATCAGCACATGCTATGAAAGGAGTTATTTCTAAGTATTCTCTTATCAAAATAATCAAGCTTACAAATAAATGTGACAGAACATTAATTCAAGTACAGACAGTCCTTGCTTTGCAGAGCTGCAGGAGATCATAAAAATGACCGTGCAAATAAACCATGCAACAAGGTCTTAATGATCAAGGAGAAAATTGTAACTGTTCTGTGACCTGTATACATTTTTACCAAAAAAATTACTAAAATTAACAAAAATTCATAACTAACACTTGTATACGGAAATAAAAATACAACAAATGTTAACACTAATTTAAGACATCACAAACACAAAATTAAAGTGTTTTATTTCTTTTTTTTTAATGTTTATTTATTTTTGAGAGAGAGATGGAGAAAGAGCAAGCAGGGGAGGGGCAGACAGAGAGTGAGACAGAATCCAAAGCAGGCCCCCACTACTGTCAGCACAGAGCCCGATGCAGGGCTTGAACTCAAACCATGAAGAGTGTGACCTGAGCCGAATGCTCAGGATGCTCAACCGACTGAGCCACCCAGGTGCCCCTAAAGTGTTTTGTTTCTTTATAAAAAACTTATCTAGGTTAGTGGTTACACAGGGAAAGTGAGGAGTATCTTAACTGACTGAAATTGCACTACACTTCAGACCAAAAACTACTCAAATTCCCAAAGCTGAACTCCTAAACACAACCTTGTGTGGGAAAACCTCAAAACCAAAAGCAATGATGTGGACATATGTTCCTTACTACAGAAAAACATCACATGTAAACTATAAAAAACAGGTATGTTTTTAGAAATATCCCATTTTTAGAAAACCACGTACATACCAGAAATAAAAAAAAAATTTACAAAGAGAGTTGTGTAATGTCCATTTATTCCTTAATACCCCTGACAACTAAGACAGAGACCCTCTTTTGGGTCTCCTTTGCAAAAGAAAGAATGGACTTCTCCACCACATTAATCACATTCGATTTTAACACTTTACATGTCTGCCTTCCACAAAAGACAGAGTCATAAATACCTGAGGAGCAAATGAACAAATGGATGGAAATAATGTGGAAAGTTGGTAGCTATCTGCCTGTCTTGCCTAAACTTCGCGAACCAAGAAAAGTCAAGCTGCAGGTGTCAATCCAAGTAGAAATATTCCTGAAGTACTTTGAAGAACAAGACAGGAACACAAGTCTGAAGATCAGGAATGCAAATTTTCCACCTCCAAACTAGAAAGAACAGCTAAGGCAACAAGAGATTAAAAGTACCAAGACAGTGAGTTCAGGGCAAAGTAAAAAATTCCTGCCTGTAACTTAATTTCTCCATCTGTTATAGTCTATCCCATCTAAAAGAAATTTTACTATCCCTCTAAGAAGAAAAGTAGAGCTAGTAAATATAACAACAAAAGGCTTAGGCACTTAAAAGTAACAATTCATAACTGTACAAAAAGCAAACAGTTAATCAGCAAGCTACTGTTTTTTTTAAGGTCTGGGAGTAACCCAAATAAGAAATACCACAAGTGTTTTATATTTTGGCCTGAAAAAACACAAGGCTAATTATCCAGTATATTCATTTAAATAAACATATGAAGAATAAAGATACTCAGAAATATTCTGTACCCAAATTTTACAAACGTGACAGTAGGGTTATCCAAAAAAGGATAGAATATTATCTTTAGTATCTTTAAAAAGCAATCTGTTTTTATTTTTTAATCAATGTTTTTTACCTTTTTTCCACTGGGCCAAACACCCAACTTTCACTTATATTCAGAATATCAAGTATGATTCTAGGTATGACTAGTATCTTCCTAAGTTTAACAAGTAACTCAAGCATTTTCACCATGAAATCAAGAATATGTATGTCAACTTTCATAATCTTCTATTTTTATAAGATATAGTAAATAAGGGGTGCTTGGGTGGCTCAGCCGGTTGAGTATCCGACTCTTGATGCTGGGCTCAGGTCATGATTCCAGGGTCATGGGATCAAGCCCCATGTCTGGCTCTACACTGAGCATGGAGCCTGCTTAAGATTCTCCTTCCTTTCCTTTTTCCTTTCCTTTCCTTTTCCTTTTCTTCCTTCTTTTCTTTCCTTCCCTTTTCTTGTCCTTTTCTTCCTTCTTTCCTTTCTTTGTTCTCTCTCACTCTCTCTTTCCCCCACCCACTCCACCTTTCTCCCCACCCTACCTGTTCATGCTCTCAAAAAAAAAAAAAAAATAAGATATGGTGAAGAGTTTATTCGGCATTTGCAACCAAGTCTCAAAACTGGATCAAATTGTGATCCAAATGGCAGCCTTACTGCCCTTACCAAATGCAAAAAACACTCATCAGAGTTGCGAAATTTTCATAAGAAGGAAAAGAATAAAGAAGACTGTCAATACAAAAAAGACATTCTTTTATTCTGGCATTCAGAAAATAATTTTTATAAACCAAAGCTTTCATACTCCTAGAAAAGTTTAGTTAAAGCATATATTGCTAATTATTAGACTATTTTCCATAACACCCATAAGATCAAATGTGTCAAGAAAATGAAATTTTTAGATGGGGAAAAGAAAACCATGTTTTAAAGCAATGCAGTGAGTAAGGGCCCCCGGGTGGCTCAGCCAGTAGAGCATCCTACTCTTGATCTTGGTTCAGGTCATGATCTCACAGTCCCTGAGATCAAGCCCCACAGCCAGCTCTGCACTGACAGCATGGAGTCTGCTTGGGATTCTCTCTCTCCCTCTCTCTCACTCTCTGCCCCTCCCCCAAGCTTTCTGTCAAAATAAATAAATAAGCAATAAAAAAAATAATAATAAAGCAACACACTGAGCAAAGGGAGATCAGACTTATGCTGCAGTAGAGAGACTGAACAACTGTGACAACATAAATTAACTGGGGCAAGAATAAAGACAAAACATGAAAGTGTACTGTCTACAGTCCTGAAGTCAGCATTAACATGCTAAAACAGAGTATCAGCAGTGTCCTGCCTTCTGAGCAGACATTACCAATACCCTGTTCAGTTATCTATTCAACAATCAACAAACATTTCAACACTCTCAAGTGCCATGCCCTGAATTAATAAACGGCAGTGGCAATGACAGGCAAACATCTGGATCAGTTTCACTAAAGTAAACCACCAGTACAAGTAGATTCTGAGAACAATTAAATGAATGGTGTCTCGTTTTATTAAAAATAGTAATCAACTATTTTACAACAACTTACCAATAACACTGAATAGAAACCTGGCTGTGTCTCCCACTGTTTCAATTGCTCCTCTGCTGGTTTTAATACAGCAGTATCCTGACTGGTGGCCTGTGTTAAGACCTGAAGAACAACAGTGCTGGCACTATTGAGATCCATGGACACCTGGTAAAGATAAGTTAACATATGTGAATCAACATTATACACAAAAAATCAACAGTAACATAAGTGGAGAAAAAGGTTCAATGATCTGAATTATTCCTGCACTTCATTCACCTACCCTCGCGTGTTTCTGCTGGATTTCTAACTTAGACTTTTGGTAATTCAACTAACTTCTGCTTAAATCAACTTATTTCTGATGGAAACTGTCTTCAATGTCCCATTAGAAGGTAATAGTAAACTGCAAATAAGAAACCCACCCACAAAAACCAAAGAACTAAATTCTGATTAAATAGCACGGTCTGCCTAAGGCTAAGTATAATACCTTCCTAGTTTTTAAAAGAAGAATATTAAGTGTTATAAGAATTTACCACTTTATCCCTACTAAGACCAAAGGAAGAAAAAGGAAAAAGAAATTTATTCTTTGACTTATTGCTAAGTACCTCATAACATCATCTTATATTCCATCAATAACACGTGTTCAAAGTATTTTCTAAAATTTAAAAGACAAAGGTATATTCAAGAAATACTGTGGGGAAAAAATGAACTAAATCAATAAACATAAAATATAATATAAAAATATAAACCTTAAGGACTGGATCATCTAATCCTATACCAAATATCTGAAGCCATTCTAAAAATACATTTAGCAATTTATTGATAGTTTTCTAAGCATTGCTTCTAATCACCCCCGAAACAGTGTACAATTGTATACTGACCCAAGTACGTATAATTGTACACAAAATGCTTATATGAAGCATGTAAGATTAAAATTGAAAGCTAAAAACAGAAAATAAATCTCAAAGCAAAAGTGACTGAGAATCAGCCTTGTGATTGTAATTCTATCTAAAACTGAAGACTGTTCCAGATAGTAAAAGTATGAAGGTCATTAACCCATAAATACAGCCAAAGCAGCCAATTCCTAAGAATTGTAATTAAACTGCAAAGACTAATGAAAAGGAGGATCCAAATGCTGACTCAACAAGAAATGGCACAAAATATTAAACTTTTCAAGGAAAACTTACAATTTTAAAAAATTTTTTTAATGTTTATTTATTTTTGACAGAGAGAGAGAGAGAGAGAGAGATTGAGACAGAGCATGAGTGGGGGAGGGGCAGAGAGAGAGAGAGGGAGACACAGAATCTGAAGCAGGCTTGAGGCTCAGGGCTGTCAGCACAGGGCCTGACGTGGGGCTCAAACTCACAGACTGAGATCATGACCTGAGCTGAAGTTGGATGCTCCACCGACTAAGCCACCCAGGCGCCCCAGGAAAACCAACAATTTTAAAGCCTGTGTGAGTAAAGCAGGGCTAGGATAAGTAGAACACAAAATACTACCAATTAGCAACGGAAGTAAACTCAAATTTTAAATTAGTCTGTTCTGGTCTGTATTTTAGGACTAGGATGCCTTGTAAATATATATTGCCTCCCTCCCTAACCTGGAGTTCCTTGAACAATGTAAGTCTCTGTGTTCATTATCACCTGAAAACAAGTGAATGGATTTTCACTCAATTTAGAGGGCTTGTTGGTAACGTATGATTTCAAAAACAGGCTATCTCAGAGAAATTTACTTTATGGAGACCTTAGAAGATATTTTCAAGAGACGGGCAGTATGTTTTTCTAAGAGAAATATAATACAAGGCACAAAAGCAAGTCATGTACGCAATTTTACATTTTCTAGCAACCACATTAAGAAGTGAAAAGATGTGGAATTATTTTTAACATTATATTTAAATGGATATATCCCAAACATTACCATTTTAACATACAATCATTATTTTGAAAAAACTAATTTTGATATTTTACGCTTTTCTTAATACTAAGTCTACAAAGTCCTGTGTACTTTACACTTAAAGCACATTGTATCTTGAACTAGCCACCTTTCAAGTGCTCAATAGCCGCATGTGGCTAGTGGCTACTGTATTCGGGTAACTTTGAAAAGCCCTACTTTAGAAATACCAGCATCACCTCACAGAAATAAAAATTCTCAATTCTCTCTCCAAACCTCCAACATGAAAATAGGGGCTGGGGGTCAAAAATGAGTGCCTTAGTAGTAAGTTCTCTAGGTAAATCTTATCACTGCCAAAGTATGAGAAATACAACTTTCGAACATCTACAACTGAGGTACAACTGAGGTAGACCTGAAAATCCAGCTCTGCAGCAACTCAGTGGATGTCAAAATGTACAGTAGTTTCGATCATACATTCCTATAAAACAAGAACAGACCAGCATTGATCTGTAGTTCTCACAAGGAATTGTCTAGGGTATGGAAAACACTAAATTCAGTGATTCTCCCCCAATTAATGGAAGAGCACCTGGCTAAAATAAACATTTTTCTTTCTTTTTTTAAATTTTTTTTAATGTTTATTTTTGAGACAGAGACAGAGACAGAGACAGGGCATGAGTAGGGCAGGGGCAGAGAGAGAGGGAGACACAGAATCTGAATTGAAGCAGGCTACAGGCTCTGAGATGTCAGCACACAGCCCGACATGGGACCCAAACTCATGAACCGCAAGATCATGACCTGAGCCAAAGTCAGGCACTCAACCAAAGGACCCACACAGGCATCT